CAGACGCTACGTGTACCAAGGTACTTGTAAAAACCTCTCGTTATTTTTATGTACCTTCTAAAAAACATTTTCCGGAATGAAAAGTAGCCTATGTATTTTTTCAGTAGTCTTTGCATGAAAGAGTAACAAACATCCATATATCTATACATCCAGACATCCATACATCCTCTCATACATTCGCATTTTTAATATTAGTAGAATATATCGGGATGCTTCGAATAGTATTTGGGATGATAGTATTTTAATTACATAATGTAAAAACAAAAAAATAATATACATTATATAGTAAATACAATACAAATGTGTCAGTATCCTTCATAATATATCCGTAAAATCACCCAGCATAATTATGTTGCACAAACCCACTAGGTAACTAGCGTTGGCGTTATACTAAAAATAAAGTGCTTTTAAAGTTTTGATCGAAGAACTTTTAATAATACTATGACACGTGAGATATGATACCTCACATTGTGAAAGTGGCGACGCGACGCCAGTATTGAAACTGAAAGAAAGGTCCGTTTACAACGTCGCGTCGGACTACAATACGATACCACTATACTCGCTCCACTTTCACGAAGCTCTAAGTTTAAAGTTTACGCTTGAGATGGCATACACGTCTCATGTGTATGACAGCATTTAGTTAATTGCCAGGATTTGAGACACTAGAGCTTCAAGTTGTGTTCTGAATTTTAACGCTTGACATTGTCTTCAGAGGACCATCTTCTCATTATTAGTCGTTGGTGAATACATATACATAGTAGGTATATATTATTGATAAAATATTTCTTCGACGAGCGATAAAATACATGTATTTTTAAAATATATGTTTATAATAAAAAAACAACGCTAATTAATCGGCTAAAAGATCTTTACCTATGACCAAAGCTATCTGTATATAAAAATATATATTTTTACTAACTAATCAATAAACACGAGGTTATTAATTAAAAAATGTATTTTTATAGAAATTTTTCATTTAGTTTCGTACTCGAGTTGCCTATCAGTTTCACTCTAGTCTCAATAACAGTTACGTGTCCGCGTCTATCAACGGTTACTATTGGCATGGGCCGTGGAGTGCGCAAAGTTTGGCAGACACCCCGCACTTTCGTAACGGCCCACTTTCCTCCACAGTTGTAGTCGCGGAGCATGTGTGCTGTAGAAATAGCTTGCGCCGTGCCATGTGTACCGTACACATTATCAGTATATTCGTAACCTCCTTTTTTATATATGTAGCCCGAAGTTATTATAATATTGATATTAAATATACATTACTTTAAAGTCAGTTAAAATAAATGTTTCATAGATTATATAGGTTTAAATTATAATTATGTATAGTTCAAAAGTTGCTACAAAACATCACGTGATTCATGGACGATCATACACACATTTTTAGGTCCTAAATTCATTTATAGGTCCTGCTCTGATTACAATTTTCACTTTAACGATATTGATTTAATGAATTTTATCTACTTTAGAAAATTTTAAAAAGAAAAATGAGAAATGTACGTGTTTAAAAAGATTTGTATTTTAGTTTCATACATATCTGTTTAATGTTTCAATGTTGTGTTATATATATTAACTATTTATATATCAAATATATATCAAATGCCTTATCCCGATGTTTTGTTAAATCTCTACTCTTATACTATATGAATTGTTTGTTTGTGGAAACTTTGTTGGCGTATATACTATTATTATTGTTATATTTTGTTGTTTGTGTTGTAACACTGTTTGTTACCCATCCTAATAATATATATATATATATATTTCACATTTGAAAAATTGAAACGAAGCAATGATATTTTTGGAAGTTCTCCAAAAGTTTCATTTTCTTTGTTTCAATTTCTAATTTCGATTTTATAAACACTTCATAATATTAATAAAACTTAACAAATATCGATTAGGTATAATAGAATATACTCGTATCAAATACAAAGAAATAGAAAAGCATGACCTTTAACCACTTGCAATATTTAGTATTTTATTATTGAGTCATTCACTACACATTAGATTTACTTTTTACGCTAATAATAACCTTGACTCGACCTCGTTTAGTTACATTGTTTATTGTTTTTTATTTCATTTCAAAAACATTTCCTATAGGGTTTATATAATGTATTCAGCCCTTTGCTAACGTCCCACTGCTGGGCACGGGCCTTCCTTTAATACTAGGGGGGTCGAGCCGTAGTCCACCACGCTGGCCAAGTGCGGGTTGGCAGACTTCACATTTCTTTCGAAAACTTGCTAGGTTCTCTAAGACATGCAGGTTTCCTCACGATGTTTTCCTTCACCGTAAGGCAAGTGGTAATCATGTTACAAATGATTCGCACATGAAAATATCAGAAGTGCGAGACCCGGGATTTGAACCCGCTTCACACGGTTTCCCAAGCGAGCGCGTTACCACTGGGCTACCACTGCCTCGTTTATATAATATCCACTTAAAATTTGTGAATTGTGCAAAATCACATAAATGGATTATATAAATTACTTACTATTTTCGGAGTGAAATATATAAAGCTTTATTTTTTTTCACCGGGGAAACCCATCAAAGGACCCTTTACTTCCTTTTGCCAGCCATCAAAGGCCGGGGAGCTATGTACGAGACCCTAACTTACTAAAACTCCGTTGGAACAGTATCGTGAACGTTAGGGGATAAATAGCTTATATTATATAACTTATAATAAAAATCCCGTTTTAACGGGGGGGTTAATGGTTTACCATTGCTGCGAGTAAAAACATAACAACAAACATATTTTCTTTTTTATATAATAATATTAGTGATCAAAGAAGGAATATTACCGTCAAAGAAAAGTAACGATTTATCTTTAAACTACAGTCTAGTAATTTATTAGAAATGAGCAATTTCTACCAGAATAATTTTATTCATAATAATATAAAGTAACTAAGAATAAGTAATTTGAAACAGTGGAAATGTTTAACCAAACTTGACACTTAATTGTCAATAAGAATGAAAATGCCGCGTGAATCATGTTGGGCGTGAAGGGAGTGAAATCGAGTAATTTTCAGTGGGCCTTGGCAATCCCGCAATATGGGTGTCGTTAAAAATTGCTGTTCATTTGAGCGTTCAGCCGAAAGCTAATCGAAATTCGATGATATTGACAAGTTGTAATACAAACAAACCTACGTAACTTACGATTGTTATCACATTTAGGATGTTTGGCCAATTAAAAAAAGAGAATATCTATGTTAATTGTGAACCTCTTTTCATGCTTCTTTTAATTAAAAACCCAAATAATTTCTTTGAAAATATTCTCAAGATATAAAAATTACTTTTATAGCGATTTATTAGTAACTACTAACTAACGACTCACCGTCCTCAACTCGGGTTCGTCCATAAGTATCTTTTAACGGTTAGTATTGATTTCGCAAAGATGACATATTTATTTGAAGTAAAAGATATCCTATACTAGCGACAAACCCGAGCGAAGCGAGGTACGTTTAACATAGATATAAATAGTTATTAGCCAGCGTTAGCCATATACATTTTATTTATTTTTTTGTTAATAATATTGACAAATATTGATATAAATATTTATACGATACTAACGTCACTCAATTGTTTTGCATTCCCGGAACCTCTCCACTAACACTTAAACTTTATAGTATGGTATTAAAGTTCAAATTGACTTTTAAGTATTATTACGAATCTTTTGTATGGGAGTAGAGAAAAGTGTTGTTTTCAGGGATTTTTTTAATTTAAAAAAATAATAATTAGCGAAATCGGTTCAGCTCTCGAAATTTACGCTTAACAACACATACAGCGATTCATTTTTATATTCCTATAAATGTTGACCCGGATAACCAGGGATATACCGATAATAATGACTATTTCAAGAACATTTTTCAAAAAATATTTAATGTACAGATTCGATTCAGAACTTTATTATATGTACCTAATATAGACTATCTTTTTCATAACAATTTCTCCCGATATATGTATCTCTAATACAATATACGTCGCTGATTATTAAGCAAACGTAAAATATTATTGTAATTTAACTTACACTTTGCAATGGACTGAAATTCTGTGGATAGTTAGATTATTTGTGACTGGTTACCTGTAACAAAATAAAACCATATAAAATTTAAGATTGAAGAAGTTAGTTAGGTAGTGACTTAAAATACCTATTTATATAATCATTTTATTTATATTATGTGGGTAGAAGAGACCAAAGGATATGAAAATTATAAAGTACTAGCGACTCAATCTTGCTACGCTCGGGTTCGTCCCTAGGTTGCTTCCCCATACGAAATTTCACCCTCATTTTTACCCCCTTAAGGGATGATTTCCGACTATCCTGTGGGATAGTTTTTATCCCATAAGACCCAAGGACATATCCTTCCAAGGGTTTCAAACTATTTTCTTACTAAATTTCATCTAAATCGGTTCAGTAGTTTCGGAGGCTATTCGATACAAACAAACAAACAAAAAAAACAAATTTTTCCCCTTTATAATATTAAGAAATAAGAATAGACAAATAAAACAGCAATCACACTATACACTATAAAATTAAAGTACGATAAAATAAAACACGCTTTTACATCACCATCGTTAATATCAATCACTTAGCATTTATCGAGAAACTATACACGCGAAAAAGTTCAAAAAAACGTCGCGCGACGGAAGTCTCCGCTTTTATTACGTTTGTACAGATTGATTGGAAATTATTGGTAAAATGTGCACATAGTAAAATAACAAGAAATTTGATTATACAGTATACGCATTTATGATTACAGCATTTATTTTATTACACGCACAATAACAACAACAGCACTGGAAGTAATATGAATATTATAATTAATAGAAATAATTTGAGGAACTAATAAAAGTCACGTTTTGGTGACAACAATTGGCATTTCATACTTATTTAATTTTCATCTGCACACATATTTATAAACTAAAGTATAATCGCGACAAAAATGGCAATATTTTTCAGAATTTCTCAAAAAGCTTCAACAGAGCTAACGTAAAACCGCACATGTCGAGAGAGATCGGGGAAAAAAGTGCGGAAACACCGCGTGACAGCGAATCCGCTTCCATCTCATCAGGCCCCGGCAGAACTGTAATGACGGCGCCGGCGCGAGATTGCCTGCCAATTGAGTTACCGATGGGAAATGGACGAGCACTTCGTAACGCCATAGGATTTCAGATGGACTGGGGTGACGTGTTTACCATTCACTTCCATTTATTTAGTTAAAACGGTTCAATAAAGATGAATGAAAAAAATATTCTATATCATTTAAAGTTACCAACTAACGCTAAATATCAAATATATATTTATAAATATTTATGTCAATATATAAAGACGTTACTGTATAATTTCATACAAAAATATAGACGGTGACTCTTACAAAGAATCTATATAAAAGTTTTATTTGAATATAACCTTATATCAATCGTTATATACCCACCATAGATAAGCTGTCATATTTGTAATAAATGTTCGAAAAGTAGTTTGTGGTGATCAATAACTTGGTATTTATCATTACTTTTGACGGGAATTTAACGGCGTCTTCGACAAATTATTCAATTTCCTGAATATGCTAAGCTTCCTGGTTATATATTTAGTTTATTTTTAACTATTATTTATATATTACAGTGTCAAAATTTTTTATTGACCGACTTGTGAATTCTTACTTTTTATTAAGATTTACCCGTAACAAATAAATCATTCGAAATAGTTAAGTTACATAGTCATTAAAAAAAGACTAGCATTGCCCGCGGCTCCGTCCGCGTTCAGATGACCAAAAACCAAATTATTAGTTTTTACATTTTGTATACTCTTACATTGAAGATTTGTATTTTTTCTCAGAAATGAGACATTTTCCCGCGGTAAAAAGTATCCTATATGTTGACCCGGATAACCAGTTATCACCACACCAAATTTCATCAAAATCCCTTCAGTTTTTCTGTGATGCGGTAACAGACAGACAGACAAAAATTCTAAAAACTATAGATTCGGTCTCTGTATCGATAATAATGTTTATTTCAATAAGATTTTCCAAAAAATATTTACATAAGGATAATTCATTTTGTTCATCTCTATAATTAATGTATTTAATTATTTTATTATGTATATAATACTAAATGAAAGGAATATTTAGACATTCAAAACCACATAACATATTTTAGAATTTGCGTAACCGAACATCATAACAAAGTTAATTAAAAGCTTTTTAGCTGGAAATCTTCAAAGTGTCGTACAAAATATAAGCACGTGTAGAGATTTGAAATTCTAGAGTTACAAGAAGCTTTCGTTTGATCTCGTCCCTGTAGAACGTGGGTGATTAATTACCAACTTAATACCAGTTAACGAGGCCTTTATATTAAGGTACCTATGTATATGTTTGTTATGTCATAAAAAACAATAAACATAATGTCTTTTTTACATAGTTTCACTTTAATTTTATTAACATTAACAACAGCCGCCTGTAGGTAGTCTCCTGTATGTAAATAAAAATAAGCTATTTTGGTAAAGACATAATATTATCTTTAGGTAAATCATGCGTTTTATGGAATGTCCGTCAAGTGGTTTTCTCGTGATGCGTTCACAGACAGAGAGGCAGACAAAAATCTAATAACTATAGATTCGGACTTTGTATCGATAATAATGTTTATTTCAATAAGATTTTCCAAAAAATATTTAATGTACAGATTCGGCTTAGTTACAATTTTATTATATGTATATAGATTGGACTAAACTAATACATACTAATAAATTAGAAACTGCCGCTGAGCTATAGGTACTATTACGAGTATATCAAAAATCACGTAACCAACCACCACCATATAAACTTCACAATTTTCTGATTTCTCAAATTCAATTAACTTGTTTATAAAACAAACGCTAAACACGTGTACCTACTCAAGAAGCAATTAACGGCCAAGCAAAAAACGTGTAAAAAAAAGAAGTAGAAGCGGTATTGAAGTTGCTACTTTCTTTTATAAGCAATTTGGTAAAAAGTTTTTTTCGCGAACAGTTCCTAATTGTTGCCTAACAATAACCATAAAATTGAAATTTACAAAACAATTTTATGTTTCGTAAAATGAAATGCTTTTTTCATTGAGAAGCCGTTGAAACTCGTGTAATTAAAAATGAAATTTCACAATACACACCCTATAACTATGTAGGTATATTCATACTCACAGAATATTTAAGATTTTTTAGGTATACCTAATTAACTATACAATATTAGTTTTTTCTTCAAAAATAAAAGATGCTAATTATTAATTTTATTTAATACACTGTTTAATAATGATTCTTATCGAAAATAAAACATATGTACGAGTACATATTATATTATGCGTAATACCTATATCAAATGTGAGAACTGGGAAAAATAAAAAAAATACATTATTATTCTTTTTTAAATGCGAAGGTTTAAAGAAAACTATAATAATTAATGCCACAGAAAGTTAGTACGGAACAAAATTGATTATACCATGGTTATACATACAGGTCCGATACTTAGAACGCCCGATACGCAGAAATTGTATGATTTAAATCTTGTTAAGATTTCCGACTTAGCTAAATGAAATATATGTTACGTATTAATTCACTAAAAAGAGATTTTTAATAGCTTTGATTTTTTTTAAACTAATATTGCACTTGTACCTAAAACATACATACGTCTTTAGATTCATATCAGAATTCCGACCTTGACGATTTCTATTCATTCATTCATTCATGTTGGATGAGACAAAAATATTAAAAAAAAACGCATCAAAATCCGTTGCATAGTTTTAAAGATCTAAGCATACATAGGGACAGACAGACAGCGGGAAGCGACTTTGTTTTATACTATGTACTGACGAAGGATAAACGAGACCATAAAAATCTACACAGGTATGCAAAAGAATCGATAAAAAATATAGATTACATCTACGCCTCAAATCAATTGTAAATGGAAATAAAAAAAAATCAATTAGGTATACTTATAGTGAGAGTACTTACTCATTGTTAATTACAATTTTGTTGACTTAACCTCGAGCTCGAAACCATATTGTATGAAATGTAGGAAAATATTTGCAGCTTAATTGCATATAGCTGGTTTTTAATTAAAAAATACTCTAGTAAAGTATTTAGAAAAAGATATAATATATTTGTCTGTCTGTTGTTCTGCTGTACCTAATTATTAAATAATCCATACATATAATAAAATTATAAATGAACCGAAACTGTACATTAAATATTTTTTTGGAAAACCTTATTGAAATAGACATTATTATCGATATAGAGGCTGAATCTAAACTTTTAAAATTTTTGTCTATCTGCGTGTCTGTCTGTCAGTTACCGCATCACGGAAAAACCACTGGAGGGATTTTGATGAAATTTGGTATGATGATAGCTGGTTATCCGGGTCAACATATTATCATAATATACAGAATACTTTTTGCTGCAGGAAAATATCTCATCTCTGAGAAATCTATACTCAGGAACGTACCCGAGCGGAGCGAGTGAGTCGCTAGTGTTAAATAATGATACGACATTTTTACGTATAATTTAGAATCTAATGTAAGTTTTGCATAATATAATTACAATTAGTAGATACCGAAGGACAAGAAATATTTGTGAAAACATTACATCAATTTAATTTTAAATTTTAGTCATACTATACGAACTTAAGAAAGCATTTGACATTATATAAAAAAATATATAAAAATTAAGAACCGCGACCATAAGATAAAAGCCCAGAAATGCTGTTCTAAGTGGCACGAGAATCGAAAGCCAGTTTTGATACAACTTTGTAGTGGTACAACTTTGGTCGTTTCGAAACTCGCTTTATCTGATTACTTTAAAATGACATAAACATAAACTTTGGGTAAATGGCTCATTAAAGTGCAATCTTGTTTTAAGAATAAACCTAAAGCTTGTGACATACAGAAAGAACTCTTTATGCCTTTAGTACATATCGTAAAAGAGAATATGATATTTCAAAAGTACCTATGTAATTTGTTTTATTAACCGACTTTATGTTTAAATCGTTTTAACGTTCTGTGAAATTTAAAATATATGTAGGTACCTACAGACAGAGTCGTCGACATGGTGAAAGCTCGAAGGCAAATGAATGCCAATAGTTTACACTATCGACTCACCCTCGCTCCGCTCAGGTTCGTTCCTTGATACGGTTTAGCGGTTAGGATCAATTTTCAGAGATGAGATATTTTCTCGCAGTAAAAAGTATACCAAATGTTGACCCTGATAACCAGCTGTCATCATACCAAATTTCATCAAAATCTGCCCAGTGGTTTTCTCGAGATACACACAGCGTCCCAGACAAACGGACAGAAAGTCTAAAAACTATAGATTTGGCGTCGTATCGATAATAATGAATGACTATTTCAATAACATTTTTCAAGAAATATTTAACGTACAGATTCGATTCAGTTAAAATTTTATTATAGGTTTAACCATAAAATCTTAAAATACTTAAATTTACTGACATAAAATAACGTAGAACGTTTCGTACGAAAATAATAATTCACAAATCTTACCATCTTTTTGTCATGTAGGCAAAATCTTATAATTAGAAATAGTAATTATTGTATATACATAAATTTATTTCGTGTATCTCAGAAACAGCTCTAAACATTTGTATCAAACTTTCTATTTAGATAAGGTTTTGCTTTTTAAGTGTACCTATATAGATGACTTTTCTGAAAAAACGCCATTTTTATATTTTTAAATTTTATTTCTTTTCGAAAAACACCGAGCGAAGTTCGGTCGCCCAGGCAACAAAATTTAATGTGCTCATTAAAAATATTATCAATAATTTCTAATAAAACCTAGGGCAGGAAAACCTATGCACACATTTATATGGAAATATTTCCAGTCCTTAAGGCGGTAAGGAGACACTTCTAGAAATTATAATACATATTTAAGCTTAGACCTCGGTTTACGATCTTCTATGTACTCGATCTATGTCCACTAATATAGCAAATTGCGTTAGCTAATACCTAAACATGTCCAACTTTTTAATTTTCTACTGATGTGTACAGCCTAAAATAACGTGAATATAATTTGTTCATATCAACTTTTAATCATTTAGTATAGATATAAGTTTTGCTGCTTTTACTCAAGGAGCAATTAACCTAATAGTCTAGTGTGGACGACAGCAACACTTTCTAAATCATATAGGTATGTCACGACAAAATCCTCCACGCAACTCACCCGCGGCCCACGTTAAGCGTCCACTCTAATATTTCTAATTAATTGGCGACCTCCATCCAGTCTATCGACCAGTTGAGCAACGCCCTATGAGTTTCAAAACATCACTTGTTTACGCTGTATTCAGTAGCTACTTTTTTTTCCTATAACTGATATTTTCTATGACATCATATGTTTAAAATTTAAAATATAACTATGTATATTTAGAAAAAAAACGAACAACACTAAAAGGCATTGGCAAGAAAGAGAATCCCTTTGATTCCAATTTTAAACAACTTCAGTCGATATTTATGTACTATACTCAATTTATGTATAATATATATATAAACTGTAAAAACATATATACTAGTATCTAATATAATTTACCCTCACTTCGCTTTGGTGCGTGACAAAGGTCTTACAGTAGGTACGTAGTAACCTACATGCTACTCATGTTCAAAGTCTATTCGTATACTAAATTTCTTTTGTTTCAGCATGAAGGAGTAAAACACACATTTACAAACTTTCACATTTATAATAAGAGTACAATAAAAGTTTAATATTTACGTTAACAGATTTCCACTATTAATAATATATAAGTAAATTACACGTAAACTTTTAGTTATATTGCTCATCTAGCGAATACAACAGCAAGCAAATACCGAGTGTATTACCTCAAATTCAATTTTACATTACCTTTTTCCTGTATTGCATACATTTATTGTTATGTGCTAGTTTAAACATCTTCATTTAACAATAGTACTATTAAATTCAAGACGCTATCATCTCACGTGATTCGCCTATGCGAGTCCTTTAAGACGACCTTTGTCACGTTTACTGCAGCAGTCGCAGTGCCCTCTAGCGACTTTCTTTTTCACCGTGATTTATTAGCATAATATTCTTTACGTAAAATTTCTTTAAACTTCACAAAAAATTTTAGTTCGTAAAATTGAACTTTTCATAGGATATAAATTAAAATGTATTACCTTTAATACTTATTAATAAAACAGAAACTTTATAATGAACTATTGATCTATGATTTACTTATTAGAGTGCCTTTTTGACATTTGTCATAAGGTATGTAAAACTAAACAAAATCGATACCAAAATATACGTTTGATTAAAAAAATCGATATTTTTTCTCTACGTATTGATAATATATAATATCTATATAATTACCGATTTTTTATATTTCCTAATGAGTGATTATGTTAACAATCAGGTAATTTGATAATATCACAACATTAATTAAGTGCTTCGTTTAGTCTGAAAATACAACATTTGGATCTCGACAACAGCGCCACCTACCGTGTACAACTATATCATCAAAAACGTCAAGCCGTTTAGGAGGAGAATTCAAATTAAATCATGAAATTAAAATTGCAATAAAAAATTGAATTTATTCATGCTTATTAAAATCGAGCTTTTGTTCATATCGTCGTTGCGAAGTTAAGACCTCCTATGTGTCACTTTTGGCAAAATTACTTTTTTAGGCTTACCGATTCTACATTTTAATGCGCTATCGAATGCAAAAACTGTCATGTGAATATGGTGTTTCAATCGTCAGTTATTTACTAAATTCAAAATCTTGAATGTACTTGCTAATTAAAAGTTGGTTCTTAAAATATCTTATGTGTATGTATGTGTGTCGTCGCTGGACTTTCGAGGAAAATTTAATTGATCAAACTGCAGAAAACACTTTACCAAGTTCAAATATTATTGCCAGGCCAGGAAGGCACGTTGAATTGACAAGAACAGTTAAAACATGGTTGGATCTTTTACCAAGTCATTACTGTCGTTCTAGCTCAAAAAAATTTTTTGTTTAATAGACTTTTCGATCTGAACTCCACATGCATCAAGTTTTTAAGGAGTGGTGTATTGAAAACCACTACAAAGCTGCCTCTAGAAGGACATTATCCAAGATACTGACAAACGAAAATATCAGCATTCATCTTTCGCGCAAAGACCAGTGTGACACGTGTTGCAGTTATAAAACGGGTAACATTTCGAAAGAAGAATACGAAAGTCATATTGCGAAGAAAACTGAAGCCCGTGAAGCCAAAAAGAATGTCATAGAAAGTGCAAACGAAAAGGATGTGGTTATAACTGTCGACGTTCAAAATGTTTTGCTCGCTCCAAAGCTATGGCTAGTGCTTTATACTACAAATTAAAATTACAATTCAATAACTTTACGGCTTATAACGTGCTATCCAAAGATGTGAACATTTACTTTTGGCACGAAGCAGATGGTAATGTAGTGACATCATTAGCAGTTGCTAATGAATTCACATCTTGTTTAATGATGATGTTCTCCTAGCCGATTCCGGCTACGGCGGCCAATCTCATTGAGACTAGCCAACTGTGCAGGAGATATTATAGTGCTCAAGTGTACGCGCAGACACAAGTGCACTCTCTATTCCTGTCACTCTCATACTCCGGTGGGACGACTGCTCGACACGACCGGTGAGAGTTAAGGCTTTACGTGCTCTCCGAGGCACGGGGGTGAAACACCGCCAACTTCCCAACTCCGGGCTGTTACTGAGGCTTACTTATACAGAAAGACTCAATAACTAAACTTGACCCGACCCGGGACTCGAACCCAGGACCTCTGGGTGTGCATCCGTACATGCTAGCCACTATACCACCGAGGCAGTTAATAGACTACTGTCTACGGATGTCTGTTGATGATGAAACCGAATTTCGTCTAGTGCCCTAAGCGATTTGGCGCAAAGGAGGCATTTGTATTGAACAACTTTATCTGGAAAAAGGGCACACTATGATGGAGGTAGATAGTGTTCACTCCACTATTGAGCAATACATAAAACCGCCAATATTCGCTTCCAGTGATTACATCGCACGAATGAGAAAAGCTCGACCTTAAAAGCCCTATGATATCAAATCTGTTAACTTTGATTTCTTTCTCAATTTCGAAGAGATGGAATCGAACTTAAAATCCATACGGCCTGGAAAAAAGAAGGGGAGATCCTGTCGTGGTGGACATTAAGGGTCTTAAATATTTATCCGATGGATCCATATTTTATAGGTTAAGACATGTCGATGAGTGGTCGGTACTTCCACAGCGTAAAAACAACCAAAGAAATGATTTTATATCTCCAAGGGGACATAAATCTCCAATAAAAATTACTGAGAGCGAGTATAAACATTTACAGGAACTCAAAATGGTAATAGATCAGGATTACCATCCATTTTATAATGCGTTACCATTCAATCCCCTTAGGTGCCCCTAATGCATAATTACTAGTTAAATTCAAAAAGTTATGGTAGTTTGATTTGTAACTTTTTTATTCTAACTTGTGGTTCAATTGTTACATAATGTGTTAAGATGTGTATTCAGAGAAATATATTTGTTTTTGCAATAAAATAAATAGTTTTTTAATTCAATAATTGTAGGCATTTTGTTTCAAGAGCAATGATGTGATCCATAAAGCGCACGCAAATTATCTTATGTGTTAACTGAACTTGTTTTTATTTTTTTTCACTACGATACTACTTTTCATTTCATGTAATAATATCATAGTAAAAAGCAGGAAAACATGTAGCTGATATTTATATTTTTTGTTGTAGTTAGTTTCACTATATTTTTTTCAGTAGACGGTTTTTATCGATTATCTCATAAAATTGATTTTTACACATAAGAGGTTTCAAAGTCGCAACGACGATATACGATTAAGTTATAAATTTCTTTCTTTTTCTTTTTCTCTTTCCTTGGCGTTACAACTTGGGATTTCTGTTTGAACAAGGACACTGTGAACGTTTGCGCAGACATTCATCAAATACTTGTTTGGCCATATTCTATAGAAGTCAAAAACTCAACGCGAAACGTCAAAACCACATTAAAAAAACTGAAAGAATATACATATGTAAGTATGTACATCGTTGAATAATTTTAAAGACGGTTCATATAATAACAGTCGAATTTAATTAGTATCAATAAACGAAATAATTCATCACTTTCGACTTTTGCAATGTTGTACGCGATGTCATAGCAGGGCTTGTCTTGTAATGTAACACGTCAAATGCTGTGTTACACGATGTTATCTTGTTGTTCATACGAGGATATTAAATATTACTTCCGGCTAAAGAAAGTTATACACTTATGGGAGTTTATATCAGAAGTACGTTTTATTTTACTTATTATAGGCATTCTTATATACGTAATTGGTACAAACAAATCAGCTGATTCGTTTTATAAGCATCATTTTAGAAGAAGCGTGTCAGATTTAGCGTCACTACATACTTTTATTAGCTTTAAACTTAAATTCAGTTTGAAATTTAAAAAGATTAGCTTTGGCAGTACAAAATACAAATAGGCCTTCATAATTAAGATTCGATTAAAACTAAATAGTAATTATTTAAAAAACAAAATTTTCTTATATTAAGGTTATTTCCTAACTAATTAGAGACAATATTGTTTTAACGTCTTAACGTAGTACATATGCACAATTATTACACACCAGAGATACCTTGAATATTTAACGTTATATATACATATATACACATACTATGTATTGATCAGAAGACATTGAGCTTGAGCTCCACGTAAAACGTGGTTCCGTATAATATGATAAAGGTCATGTAACCCGGCAGAAACGAACATAAAATCTTATTCAACGAATATCTAGTACTTAGGTAGCGATACGTCATAGCACGCAGACACGATGGATGTGAATAAAATGGACCATTGTTAGTGTTGATATAGGTGCTATAAAAACGCACACAATAGTCTTAAGGATGTGAGAAAGGAAAGCAAAGGTGGTGTTTGCGAAACAAAACATGTGGAAACAAGTCCGAGCGGAGGCAAACTGTACGGTAAGAAATACGATAATACTTTGGGTAGTTGAGAAATAGTACAACCCATACAATAGACACGTTTGTAATTTATTCATTGTTTAGTAAATAATTATTATTAGGAAATTTTCATTACCTATACATGTACATGACACATAAAAACGTTAAAATCTAAATTTTAATCTAAATCACGTGCACGTTCAAATATGATTTCTAGGTTAATACCTACGTGATTTTTTTATATATAATATCAAATAGAATTCATATTTCTTTAAGATTTAAATCAATTTATACTACTCGTAGTGGCCCAAATACTTAAATGTCTTTTGATATTAACAACGTTAACAAAATATATGTACACTATGATTTCCATTATAGTAATGGAGATCTCGTTGAAAACATTGCACTCTGCTTCATTGTAAAATGTAGCACTTAAGGCAATTACTGAGCTGAAGTGCATTTGAGAATTATGTAAGGTTCTCGTTAACTAACGGTTACGTAAACTCAAATCTCAAACAACAGTATTCAAAAAAGAATCCCTCCACAACCGCGGACACGCCGGCGTGTCAGTTAACAATAGATTTCTTAAAATTTTAATTAACTTCTTATAAGAAATTTACCTGGAGGTGTTAAATACTCCAAAATTATTATCTTTTTTAATACCTAGATTTCGTATCAATCTAAAAAAAGTATCTAATTAAGAGGACGTAACATTAAGTGGTTGTAGTTCAATAAAACAAACCCACATTGAATGTTTTATTGCATTTACTAGCGTCTTACCCTCGCTTCGCTCGGGTTCGTCCATAGCTTGATCCCCTATACAAACTTTCATCCCCATTTTCACCCACTTAAAGGATGATTTTCGGGATTAAAAATCCTATGTCCTTCCCAGGGTCTCAAACTATCTTCTTACCAAATTTCATGTAAATCGGTTCAGTAAATCCAGAGATTACCCCCTATAACCCCACAAACTCAGAATCTCACAAACGCACAAACTTTACCTCTTTATAATATTAGTATAGATAATTTTTCTATCAACAATTATTGTACTTTTGGTCAAACTATATCGCTCGAAGCAAGTTAGTACATAAATTAACGTCTTTAAGGTACAGCGTAGTTTGCAACACAACTTTGGGTGTGGATTATAACTTAGGAAATACAAACTCATTAAACTCAACTGAGTACTTTTTGCTCGAGATACTTTAACGAGTACCTTATACACTTCGCGGAAATTATTGTAATTATTTTCCTAATACCAAATCTAAGCAAAGGTTCGTGATATAAAGCATCTACATATTCGTGCCGCTTAGTTTCTTTCGCCAGTTTTCTCAGGTCGGAGGCTTCTTCTTTCCGAACTGGTAGTAGACTCATGACTTTCAGTAATAAATTGTAATAATTTATGGCTGATTAAAATATTTTAAATTTGAATTCAAATAAACATATTTACCTATTGTGTAAAAGCTATATGAGTTTAATGAGTAGAATGACTTTTAAATACTGTGTCACATTAATGATATTTTTTTATGAAAGTATTATAATTGTAACAAATTTAACCTTCTGTTGTCGTATTGATTTGGAACTTTATACACAAGTATGTATGTAAATTAAGATGACAATAATATAATCGAAATTTTATACAGAATAGATCTAATAAAGCCAGACAGGTAGTAGAACTTCCTAATGCCTATTCATTGCCTACTGGGTAGACTTTTGTGGTTTAACTCAATTAATTTGTTTTGAATTCCATATATTAAAATTTATGAAAAGGGGGTTTTCTTTAAATCTATATCTATACGTGTAGTAAAATTTTTACTGAGTCCAATCTGTACATTCTATATTTTTTGGATATATTTTTTATTGAAATAGTCATTATGATCGATACAGAGACCGAATCAATAGTTTTTAGAATTTTTGTCTGTCTGGGAACGCATCATGAAAAAACCATTGGAAAGATTTTGATAAAATTTAGTATGATAATAGCTGGTTATTCGGGTCAACATATAGTATACTTTTTACTGCGGGAAAATATCTCATTGTTGAGAAATCTATACCAACCGTTAAAACCGTCGCTAGTTTGCTATAATATGCATATTTGCAAGATATAGAATATAATTTTCGCACCGCTGTCTTTTCGTTTTCACGGGAACACACAAAGGAGTTCACAACGGAAACTTGCTGGCGGGAAGGTGACTAACCTCCCTAGAAAATAGGACAGCAGCCGATTTAAATAATTCATTCAGATATTTCTCACTAAGAGATTACGATTTAAGTTAGAGCAGCGGAAAATTTTAAATTGCATTACTTGCGTGCAAATGAAGAGATATGTGGATTGTGAGCGTAAAAATATATAATATGTAGG